GTTGAGGGGTATCTGATTCGTAGGTGTTTAAGATTGTTAACGGTAATTAGGATAAGTGTTAAGGGGTAATCGTGATTGAGGTGTTTAAGATTGTTAATGGAATTGATAGTGTTAAGGGGATCTGATTGAGGCGTTTCAGATTGTTAAAGGAATTGATAGTGTTAAGGGGATCTGATTGAGGTGTTTAAGATTGTTAATGGAATCGATAGTGTTGAGGGGATCTGATTGAGCTGTTTAAGATTGTTAAAGGAATTGATAGTGTTAAGGGGATCTGATTGAGGTGTTTAAGATTGTTAACGGAATCGATAGTGTTGAGGGGATCTGATTGAGCTGTTTAAGATTGTTAACGGAATCGATAGTGTTGAGGGGATCTGATTGAGGTGTTTAAGATTGTTAATGGAATTGATATTGTTGAGGGGATCTGATTGAGGTGTTTAAGATTGTTAATGGAATTGATAGTGTTGATGCATCATCTTTTTTAATATCTAATGGTGAAAATTATGAGACTGGAGTACACAAGTATGAAATTTGTAGGGTAGGAGACATTTATAATTAAAACAGCTTTATTTGGTTTGACACGGTGGTTGGAACTTGTAATGGGTTGCCTTCAGATATAGTGGATGCAGTTATTTTATGGGAGCTTAAGGGAAAGCCTGATAAACATTTGAATGATAACGGCTGGATTTGAGTGTTGTATTTTTATTTTAGAGTTTAGTATAGTGAATGGGACAACTTAGATGGACCAACAGGTCTCTTGTTGTCATTAAATTGTATGTATGTAAATATCCTCCTACAATTGTGGTCTTTGATTTAACAGTTTATTTCTTATGTAACATTTTAGTGAAAAACTTTATCAAGAAAATTACGATTCTTCAGATTTTTTTTGAGCTGGTTCTTTAAGTGAAATATTTCAACCTTTTCATTTTGAATTCTTGTAGATTATTTTAGTAGTTTTAGTTATTTTAGAGAAGAGCTTGCTTAGATTTTTCAGTTTGTCATATCTCTGTTACATTTTTATTTTATTTTTTCAGCTACCAGTTGGACGTGCATGTATATCTCATTATAGTCTTCTCCATCGCTTCTGTGTCTTTTCCCATGATGAGTTGATATGTAAGATGGCATCAGATCCAGATAAGTTAGGTATCAGTCTTGCTGCATCTACTTTTCTGGATATGTTAAAGATGGTGGAAAATGAGAGAGTTATGAGGAAATCCCTTCTGGAATGGGTAGGTCTTGTTAGTTTTAAAAATGTACAAGATGATAAAAATGTGTGTTCATAGAGAGCAAATAGCAGAAATCTAGTTTCCTGTTTTAATGTTTACCACAAAAGGTTAAATGTTTTAATTAGTGGTGTAACTGTATTTATTGTAAAGTGTGATTGTATCTAGTGCAGTTAATTGTTGTAATTACTCGTGAAATACTTTAGCAAGGCACCAATTGATTTAGGCAAAGTGGTATAAATATACAGTAGGAATTGAATTGAACAATAGTATAAATATACAGTAGTGAATGATTTAGGCAAGGTGGTATAAATATACAATAGGAATTGAATTGAACAACAGTATAAATATACAATAGGAATTGAATTGAACAATAGTATAAATATACAGTAGTGAATGATTTAATCAACAGTATAAATATACAGTAGGAATTGATTTGAACAAGAGTATAGAAATATGGTAGTGACCGATTTAAACAAGAGTATAAATATACAGTAGTGATTGACTTAGACAACAGTATAAATATACAGTAGGAATTGATTTGAACAACAGTATAGATATACGGTAGTGACTGATTTAAACAACAGCATAAATATATAGTAGTGATTGACTTAGACAACAGTATAGATATATGGTAGTGACCGATTTAAACAACAGTATAAATATATAGTAGTGATTGACTTAGACAACAGTATAGATATATGGTAGTGACCGATTTAAACAACAGTATAAATATATAGTAGTGATTGACTTAGACAACAGTATAGATATACGGTAGTGACCGATTTAATCAATGGTATAAATATACGGTAGTGACCGATTTGAACAACAGTATAAGTATACAGTAGTGATTGATTTAATCAATGGTATAAATATATGGTAGTGACTGATTTAAACAACAGTATAAATATATAGTAGTGACTGATTTAAACAACAGTATAAATATACAATAGGAATTGGTTTGAACAACAGTATAGATATATGGTAGTGACTGATTTAATCAATGGTATAAATATACGATAGTGACTGATTTAATCAATGGTATAAATATACAGTAGGAATTGATTTGAACAACAGTATAAGTATACAGTAGTGATTGATTTAAACAACAGGATAAATATATTTAGTAAATAATTATCTAGAGAAGTAATGTTTATCTTTCAGGGTGTAACTGAAGCTGAACGTGAAGCATTTGAACTCCTACCAGATGATGAGCGCCAGTGTGATTACTGTAAAACTACATGTTTTCTTTCTGCACTAACATGCTCTTGTGACAGTAGTAAGTTTTGTGAGATTCAAATGTTTATTACATAAGTAAATAATAAGCTATATAAAGTTTGTAAGCTAAACGTTGGTACTGATGAAGTATGTATTATTTGTATACCCAAAAAGTAAATATTAAGAATTTTATGGGGTAAATTAATTTCTGTTCTGCTTATAGGTACTCAGCATTTCCTATAATTCTTTTAAAATCTATTGCCACTGAAAACTTAATTATACTGAAGTAAGCTAATCCTTAAAAACTTAGTGACAGTGTACTTCAAATTCCCCATTCCTCTCAGCTTTTGTTACTTTGTGTTATTATTAGATTCTGTCTATTTAATCTGATTTCCACCAATGAAAAGATGTATTGTTAATTTACTCCTTGAATTGTTCCTTGACACTGAGGATAAGTTTGCAGGAAAAATTTTAAAACAGAATGTTATTAGCATAATTTTACATTATTTATAGATTTTTAATAATATCGTAACCTTATCCTTTAGTGTTTGGAAACTTCCTTGTTAACTACTGATAGTATACTGGTGGTAAAGCTTTTTGGTTTAGTAATAATAACTACTGATAATATACTGGTGTTAAAGCTTTTTGTTATAGTAATAATAACTACTGATGATATACTGGTGTTAATTAAAGCTTTTTGTTTTAGTAATAATAACTACTGATAATATACTGGTGTTAAAGCTTTTTGTTTTAGTAATAATAACTACTGATGATATACTGGTGTTAAAGCTTTTTGTTTTAGTAATAATAACTACTGATGATATACTGGTGTTAATTAAAGCTTTTTGTTTTAGTAATAATAACTACTGATAATATACTGGTGTTAAAGCTTTTTGTTTTAGTAATAATAACTACTGATGATATACTGGTGTTAATTAAAGCTTTTTGTTTTAGTAATAATAACTACTGGTAGTATATTGGTGGTAAACCCTTTTTTTTTTCAAGTAATAATAATAATGAGATGTGCTCTCAGTTCTGTGGATTATTTAAACATTTGTATGTTTTGCTTAATTATTTTCTGTATGCTTCTGATTTATATCTTTCCTGAAGTTTCTTTTTTTTTATTAATTTTTCAGGTAAACTAGTTTGTATCAACCATAAAGAAAAACTGTGCTCATGTTTACCCAACAAACACTGTTTAAGGTAATAATATTCTTGTTATGTGGTCAATACTTTCAAGCTGCCAATGCACAATTATGATACTTGTTTTTTTTTTAAGTTTTAAAAGATGTGTTAAAAGAAAAACTCAAATACATTTATTTACATGTCATTTACATTTCCAGTGTTTCATTGGTAAGTCTGTGAACTTATACACTAAAAACTGAGTTTGATATCCGTGATGGGTACAGCACAGATAACTTGTGGTGTAACTTTGGGCTTAAATACAAACATGTCATGCTTATACTTCATTTCTACATTCTGATAATGTGATGGGTACGGCACAGATAACTTGTGGTGTAACTTTGGGCTTAAATACAAACATGTCATGCTTATACTTCATTCTGATAATGTGACCAACTATATCTTATAAACATTTTCTCTTCAGTATATGGTCACATACAACTTACTCTTTTATTAGGTACCGTTACACACTTGATGAACTTCCAGTGATGTTGCATCGTTTAAAAGTTACAACTTACTCTTTTATTAGGTACCGTACCACACTTGATGAACTTCCAGTGATGTTGCATCGTTTAAAAGTTACAACTTACTCTTTTATTAGGTACCGTTCCACACTTGATGAACTTCCAGTGATGTTGCATCGTTTAAAAGTTACAATTTACTCTTTTATTGGGTACCGTTACACACTTGATGAACTTCCAGTGATGTTGCATCGTTTAAAAGTTGAGAGCAGAGTCTTTTGACTATTGGGCGGTGAAAGTACAAAAAGCTTTAGAAGCTCCTGAAGATGAAAAATTGGGTAAGAGGATGGAACTTAACATTGGATTCTATAATAATAATAACCACTTTAAACCAGAGAAAAGCAGATAGATTAATACATAATTTTAAAAAAGTTTTTAAAATAAGTTATTTATTTTGAAAACTTGTAACTTTTAAATCAGGAACATCTTATCAACATAATCTTACCTCTGAATGGTACTGTTTATTAAGATCACTGTAAATTCATCCTTTTTTCTTTAATTTACAATCTTGGAAAAATAATAAATACTGAAATTAATTCACAAGTTGTTTTATCCCTGGTTGATATATGATAATTTGTTAACTTAAAAAGTTGTAACATTAGTTTTTATGGTGATAACTACATTATTTTGTCTGATATTCAGTATTATATTAAATGTAATTGGACTCTTGACTGTATATGTTAAGAATTTGTAGATTTTTCTTTATAACAATTAAACCTCATAACTGTAAAATCATTGTAATGAAAACTAGTTTGTTGAGTTGTATTAGGTTTTTATATTAATCTTGTAATGACTATGAATATGTTAACTGTCACAGAAGTCAGATTACTGAAGTGTTGTATTGAGTATGGTTTTAATGCTATTCCTCTGATGGCTTTCAATACATTAACTGTCATGGAAATCAAATTACTAAGTGTGATATTAAGTATGGTTTTTATATTAATCCTGTAATGGCTGTGATTACATTAACTGTCATGAAAGTCAGATTACTTAAGTATGGTTTTAATACTGACTCTCTGATGGCTTTCAATACATTAACTGTCATGGAAGGAGGTTACTGAAGTTTGATATTAAGTAAGGTTTTAATACTAATCTGATGGCTGTAAATACATGAACTGTCATGGATTACTGAAATGTATGTGATGTTTTGTCAAGCTTAAGCTTATGAATGTTAATAAAGTTTGGGGAAGTATAAATACAATGTTTTACATAATTTTTGGGTGGGTAGCTCTTGCATATTGTGATGGCAAGAAACGAGTTTGTGATTTCAAGGATTATAAAAACTTTCAATCATGAATTGTCAGGTTTTATTTGAAGTGTGTATACAGTTGTCAGCTATGTAAAAATGAATTAGATGTTTTTATTTTTTAATGGTAAAAACAGGATTGGTGCAATGTGAAGTTTCTGTTTACCATTACAAAATTTACACTGATGCTTCTGGAAGATTTTACTAGAAGCATAATCAATATAAAATGATAAGACAGCTTAAGGTGAATGTTATAAGAGATATTTAAAATATTATACATTTAAATATATTAGCTCACATTGCATATAACAAGAAAGTGAAGAAAACAGAAGTGCTCGGTTTAGCTAGAAAGCTTGATTCTGTCAATGAAAGATTATAACAAAGGATATTTAAACCAAACCTCTACTTGATATTTTGTATTCATTAATTTTTCTGCACAAGTTTAACTTACTGACAGGAATGATGGGCTTATATCTCACATGCATAAAACTTTCATCATATCAAGATTTTACTTCTTTTATGAGTCTAAAACATACGTACTTCTCTAGCAAGCTTTCATTTTAACTTTTGTACCCAAATTTAGGCCAACTGTAGAGAACAGTGAGAGAGGAAAGTTTACTAGATGTAGTGGAAATATCCTATTGGTTTAGTACATTATATTACAAAAAATTGAGTATGCTAGTCACCAAGGTACATGACAACCACAGCCAATATAAAGTTGTGATGATATGGTATGCATCAGAAATAGTGTGGTGCTACAACAAACTGATCACCATTAGGAAGAGTATGATGAAAAATATTCAAACACTCAGAGAGATGTGTTCAGATCGTGGATTTAGAATTTTCAAGGTGGGATTTTGTTTGTACTTAATAGCATTGGAAAACACAAGAATATGGATAAACTTAGGGATCCAGAGCAATCCAGAAAGAGACCTGCAATAAGTTGTACCTCAACCTTGGTAAGTGAGCTGTGGCATCTTGTAATCGGTGAGAATCCATTAACACAAAAGTTAGTGTAAAAAGCTATCCACATGTTCGAAGCAATAATTAAGAAGGAAATCCATCTGGAAAAGAGACACATGCTACTTCCTCAACATATTTGTTCAACTGTCACATTGTTGAAGCAGATGGAGAATGAAACAGGTTTTCATGTTATTCCATACAAAGACATATTTGTCCTGTTTCTGGAGGTAGCACTTATGGGTGTTTATGTGATTTGACTGTTGGAATGGATGCAGGAAAACTGTTGCCCTCAGACTAGATGGTTTATGGAAAGCAAGCAGGTGGGAGGGACATGACATCCTTGTGATGGAACCTTTTGCAATGGAAAATATGTTGCAAGGCTATTATCATAATGCATGAGCTTCAGATAGAGCATGAATTGATCTGTTAATGTGGACAAAATTGTTTTAATATAACAATATCAGATATCTTGAAATTATTGAGTTATGTACTTGTTATGAATAGTTAATGCTATATTATTTTGATTTTATTTTTTCTGTGTATTTTTCAGATATTACAGAGCTGAAAGAGTTGATACAAGAAGCAGAAACAAACAGCTTTCCTAAAACAGAGATTTTAAATGCTTTAGAAGATGTAATTGAGGATGCTGACAAGTGTTCTAGTCTTGCTCAACAGCTTCTCAGTAGGAAAGTTAGGACAAGGTGAGTGATAGGTTTTTAATACTGGTTGTAGCTTATATATCTGATAAACTTCTTAAAGCTGCTGAATAAGGTAGGGTAATGATTTGTTCATTGGTACCATATGTTTATAAGTGTGTGTTTTTATAGTCTCAAAATTTTGTGTGGATGACATGCATGATTCTTTTCAGCTTAAATAAAGGCCTAGAAATTGTTAAAAAAAATTATATTCCTTGTTTCAATAAGGCCAAGCAGTTTTAAAGAAATTTATTGTACTTTTATTAGAGGCTGTTGTTAGAAAGTATGTAATTTATGTTTTTCTTCCATTACGGCTCTGCCTAAAACATAGTCCTTTTTTTACATTAACAGAATTAAGGGTAATAATATAAACAGTTTTTAATGTTTTTGTTAGATGATAAAATATCCAGTTCTTGCAGTAAGAAAGCGTCTCTACACTGTACTGTTGTATTAGATGGAAGCAACTTATTTAGTGGTTTATCGTTATGCCATTCTTTCTTAGGGGAGATCCTAGATCCTTTTATTTTTCCTATCATTGACATAAGAGCCTCACTTTCTTAGTATCAAGTTCTGGGTACAATCTGGTCTTTCCACTCTGACTTTCATTATAATACAAAGTTGTGATGATTTAAAATTTTTGGGTTTTTCTCTTCTATCCTGTTTAAATTTGAAAACAATGTAATTATAACATTGATACAAGAATATCAAATATATTTTTATATATCCACTCAACACATTCTTTAGGTAGCTATAGTTAAGCCAGGCAATTACTTTTGTAAGAAAGACTTATCTGTAGTTTATGCTTGACCAGAATAATATTTCTGTTTATTTTTAGGAATTATTTTATATAATAGTAGCAGGTGGCATATGTTTATGCCTAATTATTACACGTTAACTTGGAAATCTTCTATGGCCTAAAAAATCATTAACAACAAGGGTACCCAACCGATGAAACAATATATTTTAATCATTAACTATCTCATGACTCTCTCTCTCTTAGTGAAGCTTTTGGCAGGGTATTTATTCACTGAGTATGTCAAGAGAATACACCCAATGTGATCATAAATTTACATAATCATCTGCTACATTAATAGTATCTGTACATCACTGTTAGGGAAGCTGGTGTCAGTTTCATCATACATACATAATTACTCAAAATACAAATGATTAGCTAGAAGGTGAGTTAGCATTTTAATGCAACTAAAAATTCATAGATAAACTAAACGATAGAAGTAAATAATAAATGAACGATAAACACAACCATAATCATAAAAAAAATAGAATCTGCTATCTCACAATATGAGGATCTTTTAATTGGTCTTTAAACTGTAAGGCCATTACACTAGATTTAGTTGCATGTCAGGATCTTTTATTTGGTCTTGGAATGGTAAGGCCTTCAGTCTATATTTAGTTTCATGTCAGGGTCCTTTTGTTGCAGCTTTTATATGTAATATGTTACTACATTTTCTATGTTGATGTTACACGCCAGTATTTTTTATCTTTACAGATAATAAATAGTTTAAAATATCTGATTGTTATATATTCTTTCTGGTGAAACACAAAATCTTTATTACTCTTGTTTACCTTTAGCAAGTTTGTTCATTAAGAATACAAGAGTTTCTTAAAAAATGTTCTCACTTTAATAATAACTCCTTCTTTGATTTCACATGGTACTTTGCATATCTGTTCATGAAACATTTTAACTTCCTCTACAGACATCTGTGGCATGCTCCTAGAACCCACTGTCTGCCAGTTTCTGTAAGAATATCAAACTTGTCATTTCTGAGGATGACAAATCAGCAATAATGGAAATGTTCCATTAAGTACAAGGAATGTTTTTTGCATTATGTTAATTAAAAAAAAGATTTTTAACTAAAAATTGTCAAACCTTGAAGTGACAGAACTACTTAATAAGAAAACCAAAATAAAATACATTGTGCTGTAAAATATTGTTAAATACTTCCTTTATAATCTTTTTTTGAGCATAGTACAAAGTATCTGAAACTAGTATAACCCAATAACACACGTTGATTAAAACTTAGATTGAACTGGACCTCCCTTGATCTTTTTTTGGAATATTAAGTTTATTTGTTATAGTACAAAGTAAACAATAAAGTTATCCTTTTATTTTTTGGAGTGCTCAGCACATTGTAAAATAACACTAAATGAACACTTTTTGAACAAAGTAAACACTGAAGACACCTTTGTGATTTTTGAGATCTTATTATGCTGTTATAATAAATGTTTAAACTGGCAGAAGATTTCTTTAAACAGAGATATGTGTTGTAAACTTGTAATTCTGTTAAATTGGATATTCAAAATAATCAGTTTATTTATTTTTATCTTTTATTTCATGTATAAACTTTACTGAAGAACATTAAGAGTTTTAAGTGAATTTTAGCAACTTTGTTAACTAACACGAGTAAGATGACTCTTAGGAATAATTTGATTTTATGCACTATAGGAAATTTAGACATTGGGTCTTTTATCAAAACTAAATTTTTAAGGTACTGAAATTTTGTATGGTTGTGCTATGTATTCATAAGAGTTGAACATTTCGAACCGATTCAAATTAGCAGTATTTATAACATATAGTTGGTAGTTTAAAATTAATAATCTAATAGAAAATCTAAATCATTAATGGTTGTATGAAAAATGAAATGTTAAACTAACTTAAAAAAATCTGAAAAATGTTTTGAAGATGCTATCTACTACTTCCATTGCATTTGAAATTTATAGGTGGTTGTCATTAAACAAAAACAATTTTCATTTCCAAATTCAGCACCCTAAACTGGATAGCAAGGTGTTATTTTCCGTATAAAAGTTTTTCTATTTTTACAAATCAGGATATGATTGAGCAAGTGGCTCAATTTGAAAAAGAAGCCAAACTACTGTTGGACCAAGAACTGCCAGATATTAAAAAATTAGAAAAAGCTTTGGATAATGGTTTAGCTCTAGATGTAGACCTGCCCCAACTTCTTCAGCTGAAACATGTAAGTTAGAAATTGTCTTCAGATACAAAAGGTAATTTGCTATGTCTTCATTTCGTATTACAGAAAGTCTGTTGGTGATATCAGTAAAAGTTTCTTTTACATTGAGCTCAACTAAAGAGGGCAGTACTGATGATATTTTTACTGAATTTTTTATGTCACTCATATGTTATTAGTTACCCTGTAAACAACAAATCTGAGGGTTTTGGGTTTGGTTCCCATTGCCACCAAACTGTTTACTGTTGGAAAAGCTACTAAGGTCTGTCACTGAATTTAAACTGCTGACTAGAGGGAAGGCAACTGGTTGACATCATGCAATGCCAGTCACCCCTTTTTTCCCTGTGCGTACCATGGTGTGAGGAACACCTTACTAATTGCTTAATCGAATCTCAGTGATTAATTGATTAGCAAATACCACTAACCATCCAGCTGTAATAGTAATCTTTAATGACTATACAACTAATGACTCAGATATATTTTATTTAACCTCTATTCACCAACTCTGAACCAAGATGTATGACATCAGAGATGATGTAACATTGAGAGTCATATAAATTGTTTATTGCTTTACAATCAGTTATTGTTGTGATAAAAGACTTTTGTCTACTTGTTTGTGTAAATATAGTTCTATACAACACATTTTCATAAATAATAGAACTTTTATGATTTTACATAAATTAAAATGCTGGTACTGAAATAGAGATTTTACTCGTCAGTTTATTTAAACAGTGTAAGTAGTAATATTTGTTTGTTTCTTATGAAATAGGGTTAAGTTCTCCTAGGGTATTTTGTGTCTTATTTACTTTCCTTTTCAATGTCTTAAATTTTCTCTTAAAGGTGTACCCTTGAATCTTTTTATGTTTTGAATTTATAAAATTCAGACTTATATTACCAGCTTCCTTTTGCTACGTAAAATATCTGTGTAATGTTATGAACTATACTGGCCAGTCACTGGCCCAGGCCTGTAGTTAGGGTATGACAAGTAGAAGCTGTTTTCCTAAAATCAAGTGGTCTTATGTTAGCACTAATGTGTATGTATTTCATTTTATTACCATAAAAGAAACATGAAACTAATTTGGGTAATCTATTTTTAGGTACCAAGTTTTGTGGTTTCTCTGTGATACGTTTTTAAGTGCCATGGTATTCTCAGTATTAAGTACCTTTTTTTTTATAAGTAACTGAAAACTAGAAATCATAATTGAATGGTGAGACCTATTGTGATTCATTATTGGTCTGATAAAGTGATCTTTATTAGCTGGTTAGGGCTTAAGTGACCCTTCGTGCCATCATGGTAGCAAACTTTAGGCTTAGGAATTTTATTAGCTGCTAAGTATTCATTTAATCTTTACATACAGTTGAGTTATCCATACTAGTTCAAGCCATTGCAAGTAGGAAAGAAAAATTGGTCAAAAAATTCTTTCCTTTCCAGTTAAACTTGCCGAGTGAAAAAATTATATTTGTAGGCTTAATAGTTTGGGAGTCGTCATTATTTGGTCAGGGTCCATAGGGATCCAACATGTGTACTTAAAGGTTAATGTAGACATGTATTTTTATCATGTAGTTATAAAACTGATAATGATCTTTTTTTGAGTAGTATTTGACATCAAGTATCTTGAATATTAGAAAACAGTTTTGTTTTTTTGGGTAAGGTTCAAAAATGTTCAAGGGTTAAATTAAGATTTATTTGCAGAAACTCTTACAAAGTCGTTGGTTAGAAGATATGAAGTCATCACTGTCTAATCCAAAAAAAGTAACTCTTGAGACACTCAGGAAGCTCATGGACTCTGGAGTGAATCTTCCTCCTCATTCTAGTGTGGAGAAAGCCATGGCTCATCTTCAGGATTTACTTACTAATGGTGAACGATTGGAAGAGAGGGCTAAAGGCTACGTTCAAGCCAAGTGTGTTGAATTTTACTACAAGATGATATTTTTATGTTTATAAATGATAAAAATTTAAGTAATTTTTTTAAAGTATGAAGTTACAAGAAAGAATTATGCAAAAATGATATTGTTAGAATGTTTTGTGCATGAATGTTAATTTTTGTCTTACAGTTAAAATTTTCAATTTGTTATATATTGCTTACCCATTTTGGTATGTCCTTCAGTTGGTCAAAAGTAAGTTTACAGACTTGCAAAACTAGAATTCAAGGTGTGATTCATTGTGGTGGATAGTACACAGATATTCTATTTTATACGATTGCACTAAAACAAACAAAAAAACATTTATGCTTTGTCATATGTTCTTTTGGGTAAAACCAACTCTATAATTGATTCCAGTATAATTTTATCATGGTTTTTGATTTATAAGCCTGTGATTAACTTTAAGAATTCAACAATTAACCAGCTTTCATTCAAATATAAAACATGGATAGTGAATACGTTTGAATGGGATGATACTGTGTTTATTTATACATAGGTTTGGATTTCTCTCTCTGTAATAAAGATAATATTTGGACAAGGGTTTAATATTTGAAAACAAGCTTATAATAAGTGTAATGAAGTATCACAGTGACACTCTAAAGAATTTAATACATTAAATACTCCAGTATAGATTTTTGGTTGTAAAACATGTGCATTATAATGCTTTAACTATACATATCTGTTTTATGGTAGTATTTCCCCCCAAATCTGTAGATTATTATACGAAAAAAGAATGCATTACCCAAAATCTATTCAAAATGCTATTTATGTAAGGTAACAGTAAATAAACTTTGACTTGAAAGTATTTTGCAGTTGTATAAGTAAATAAACTGTCATGGTTATTCTTTGTGCTGAGCTTAATAACATTATATTTAGTGTATAATAACAATTATTACATTATTTTGATGTTTGAATTTTTTCATAGCGTAAATAAAATTGTTTTTTTTTCAGATTCATCATGCAAACTAAATTTAAATATATATATTTTATTTAGTCCCCAGAAAGAGTTACAAATCTTAGAGGATCTATTGAATGAAGCCTGTCCAATCCCGGTCCTCCTTCCGAACGTTTTGTCATTGAGAGATATAATTAAAAAAGCAAAAGGTTGGACTGTATCAACGAAAGGTTCACAGGTATATATATGTGTTATGTTAAACTTTTTATTTCAATATAGGTGTTAAATACAAATCTGTTACAATATTTGTGACACATGTAAGCATAGTATTGAATATTTGAAAATTATATAAAGTTTCATATACATTTGGTAATTAGACATGCTTTATAATATATTTATATTTGATTGTAATACCAGTGGATAAAAAGTTGTTTGGTTAAGATTATAAATTATTTTTAATCTATTAACTTGAATATGTATATATTTTTTTCTAGAATTCAAATGATCGTCAAATTGTTGAGAAATTTGAGAACCTTACAGCACAAAGTCCTGTCCATTCAGAACAAGTCAAAATTTTTTTAGAAAGAGCTCGTCAAATTTTCCTAAAGAAGAACTCTGTATATACACTTCTTCAGGTAATAAGAAGTTACTTTTAATATTACAGATCTAAATACTCATTTTAGGAAGTTTACATTGCAACTGTTACTTGTAAAGAACTTGGACAGTTAACTAACATAAGCCATCAGTTATCTTGGATGTTTTCTGTTTTTGTAAATTCATTTATATATTTTCTGTTAGGTATATAGATATATATATTTGAATTACAACTTTTGTTATTTAATATAATTGTTTTTCATATGTTTCTTTAATTAATGTTAAGATGTGTATCTAAAACATAAAAGTTTATATAAAGTGAATTATTATGAATTCTTCTCTCCCCCCCCCCCCCCCCCTCTCTCTCTCGAAGCTTCCAGAAAATGAAATTAAGTTTGAGAATGCAAAACCAAAATATGATCAGGCTATGAATGTTTTTCACCCCACAATGTATACATTGTTTACAAATCTGATAAAAACCAATTACATATAGATTTTAACTTGGTTTTGAATATTATGTGCATTACATTCTAAACATTTTCAAAGTTCCTTTTATTTGTAATATGGAGGTAATATTTCTTTTTTTCATACATTTTTAAAACAAATATTTTGCATTGCTCTAATTTTTGACATTTTCTGGTTCCATTGCAAATTTAAAATGTTGACATGATATTTAACTTATTTTTAAGGTTCTCTTACCAAGAAAGGATTTCGGGCTCTACATTCACAAGAGCAAGAAAAGTAAATCAAAGGATGGTAATAATGACCTTGATGAAGATGTAGAAGAATCAGCAGCCTTTGATAACAAGAATCTTACTGAAACTTTAAGTGTAAGGTTATATGTTCTAAACTAATTGAAATTATAAATCTATAATATGAAAGTGTCAGCAAGACAACATTTGGGCTTAAAAACAGTTTACAGTGAACAGAGTGGTCCTGTAAGAAGAATTGTATGATTGAGGCCAGAGCTTTAAGGAAAGTTCACAGGACTGAAGTTTTGCATTCAGCTGAAAGTATTCATGGAGTTTGATCATAGAAACTTTAAGACAGAACTTCAAACTTCACTTTTAGTTTTAGAAAAGGTATCTTTATACAAAATTCACAGAATTATGCTGGATATATCTGTTATTTAGGTGAGCAAGCATATACAAAGTTCATGGAGTTGTATTGTATATATATCTACTGATTAGGTGGACCAATGTATATAAAATTCATGGAGTTATGTTGGGTATGTCTACTGATTAAGTGGACCAACATAAACAAAATTCACGGTGTTGCATTGTTTATATCTACTTATTAAGTAGACCAACGTATACAAAATTCACGGTGTTACATTGTTTATGTCTACTGAGCAAGTGGACCAACATATACAATATTCACGGTGTTACATTGTTTATGTCTACTTATTAAGTGGACCAACGTATACAAAATTCACGGTGTTACATAGGTTATGTCTACTGATTAAGTGGACCAACGTATACAAAATTCATGGTGTTACATTGTTTATGTCTACTTATTAAGTGAACCAACGTATACAAAATTCACGGTGTTACATTGTTTATGTCTACTGAGTAAGTGGACCAACGTATACAAAATTCACAGTGTTACATTGTTTATGTCTACTGATTAAGTGGACCAACGTATACAAAATTCATGGTGTTACATTGTTTATGTCTACTTATTAAGTGGACCAACGTATACAAAATTCATGGTGTTACATTGTTTATGTCTACTGAGTAAGTGGACCAAGAAGGCACCACACATAAAAGATAATATGTGAAGTGTAAAGTAATGTTAATAAGAGAAGCTAAAGGAGGACCTAAACAATAAGAGGAATACACCGTCTGTTATATTTAAGAGAAGTTAAGGACAGATGTGTGTTCTGTAGACCTCAACAGCCACATCTAAAACTATTATTTACCAATTGTAGTCAGTTGTGGAGAGGAATACACCGTTTGTTATACTTAAGAGAAGTTAAGGACAGATGTGTGTTCTGTAGACCTCAACAGCCACATCTAAAACTATTATTTACCAATTGTAGTCAGTTGTGGAGAGGAATACACCGTCTGTTATACTTAAGAGAAGTTAAGGACAGATGTGTGTTCTGTAGACCTCAACAGCCACATCTAAACTATATAGATATATTCCACATTCAAAATGAATTCAAAAATGTAAGGAAGTTCAAAAACAAAACTAAAAGAAAATTACAGCAGTGTAGTTTTTACTAAAGAAATTACAAATTTAAATTGCCAGGTTAGGTGTAACAAACAATATCCATTTAAAGCCTTTTAACACAAAAGAAATTCTTAATTGGAACATGACAAGGAGCCCTCATTTAATTGTAGAGCAACAGCAAGTATAAGAAATGAAGCAAGATATTTTCAAGTATAGAAGTTTCATTGTGTTTGTTATGTATAGAAATTGGTTGAGAAATGTTACTTTGTATGTACTAATTACAATATTGACCATAATGCAGTAACAGCATGCTTGTAGGTGCATAATCTTGACCTTTATATATCACATAATATAGTATCATTACTTGTTATATTGTTGCCGGTACATACAACATTGTTCTTTATATATCACAGAATACAGTAACATTCTACATTCTACAGATATTTTACATATTTGATGCATATAATTTGTACCAACACTTGAAGCTAAGGTAAAATATACAAAAACAACTTATAGTATGGCAGTGAAGAGGAACTTGGTATTTGTAATTGTATTTAAATTATAGTTTCTGCTTTGATTTGTTGTGTGTTGTTATTACTGTGTTTAAGGAAAGACAAGAAAATATTTTTTTATTTTGTTTTCTTCAGAGTGCAGCATTCAAACTTGCCGAACAAAATGAGATAGAAGCCATACGAGAACTGAGGAACAAAAACATCAACAAGCGAGCTGAGAATACTAGTGAGACCTGTTACTGCATTTGTCATAGGCCACTTACCAAATCGATGCTTCAGTGTGAGCTGTGTAAAGACTGGTTTCATGGTTAGGAAATTATGGAACTTTATTTACCTATAACATTAATTTTAATTATAAACTGGTCCAGAATAACTTGCCTCTAGCTGAGAGTTTGAGTTTCCTGTTGTTATGTGTTGTAATTTATAATCCTCCATGGTGTATGGATTAGTATTTCATATTTTGATACCAAGTGCGTGGTATAAAATCTTGGTAGACACTTTTTCAGCATCAGCTATTACAAGACTTAGATAAGTGTTTGATCTAAAATCATGTGGGTAGGTAAAAACAAACTATTGTAAAACTGAAATATTTACAAAACCTTCATCATACCAATATATCGATGAAAAAACACCAATACAAAACCAAAAGAAACTGAACGATTGTTTTGTTGCACAACAACATACTGTGATTGTTTTATTGCACAACAACATACTGTTCATTATCTATCTGTCTTCATCCAGAAGCTTCAGTAAGTTGACTAATATAATAATAGAGTTTATTTTATGGTGACATGATAGATCAGGTTGTAAAAGGTGGCCATTTAATAAGTTATCATATGAACAATGCAAAAAATTTATATCAGTAAAAAAAAAAGTACATCAAAACCATGTATACCACACATATGGTATTATAGAAAAAGGTTGTTTTAGGTGGATTTTAGTAAAGTATCTTTGCTTTTCCTTAGACCAGTATTTACATGTTTTGGCCAAAAGTCAGTTTTTTTTTTCTGTGCTTTCTGTTTTAAAACATAAAAAATGAATGTAGGTTACTGTATCAGAAGATGATCCTGTGCTTCCTGTTTTAAAACATAAAAAATGAATGTAAGTCACTATATCAGAAGATGATATCCTGTGTTTTCTGTTACTTGAAAATAACAAAATGAAAAGATGTTTCAGATGTAATAAATAATGCCTAATTGAATGTGAACATGTTGGTATATTCATTAAAAGAAATCACCAAGGTGTCAAGAGCAAAGAGAATTTCTGAAAAGGAATACAAAGGGAGTGAAAAGCTTCTGAGGTCATTTTATTTTGAAGAGAGTGATTTGATATGTTATTCTTGAAGTTCATCCATTATTTCTTTTACTAAAACATTTAGTAAAGGTCATCTTGTGCACTTTGTTTGCTATTTGAATACTTTTGGTTATTGTTTGAACTGAAATATATAAGTTTTTGGCCAAGTGTACACCAAAAATAGCAGTCAACCCTTGTCAAAATAGGTGAACTCTTACAACCAGTTTTTAAAGTTATATCAGAATCATTTTACATTTGATGGTTTGAACTTTCTTAAACCCAAGTCTAAATGATACAACAATCAAGTGAAAAATGAATCTGATAACTTGAAAATGTATCACCACATTTTTATTGATTCTGAGCTAATTTATTTACAAATTCAGGATTAAAAATGTAAACTATTTTTGTAAGTTTTTAACAGTTTAGGTGATTGTTTGCTAGACAGAGCTCGTCATTATGTGATGATGATGTTATGATCTGGAAATAGAAATACCAGAACCTGTAAGTTAATGAGTGATCATTAAGTGATTCAGTTCTGTGTGAGAATTGTTACATGTTTGTTATTGGTTAGCAAGGGAAATTCTAAATACGTTAGATTAACATATCATTAGCATCAGAATTTATGTTCAAACATTATTTGTTAACTTAGACCTACAAAATGTAAGTGAACATATGTAAGCCTATACCATATCAAATGTTTGTTTTCAGTATCTTGTGTTCCATTGTATCATAAAATAGGTTCTAAACAAATATTTATTGGTACTAAAGATGTTTATTTTACACTTGTTTTTAGTGTCTTGTGTTTCATTACGTCATGTAAAAGATTTCTTACCTGCAATGGCACTTGATGTTGTAAAACATTTCAAATTCCTGTGTCCTTTGTGTCATCGATCACGGAGACCGAGGCTAGAAATGGTTTGTTCTCTTGTGACATCAGTACAAAAGTTGCCAGTCAGAATTGCTGAAGGGGAAGCATTACAGTGTCTCAAAGAAAGGGTGACATCCTGGCAAGTAAGATTTATTGGAAAATATATTTTGTATAAAACAGTTTTATGTAGGTTTTCAACTATAAAACACTATTTGTTAAAAACTTATACTAATATGTGAAAAAGGGTCATAGAAATGTTACTAAGATTGAGTCTGATCTGTATGTTGTATGCCTTTACTAAGGAACAAAATTGTCGTTAGCACCACCACAGAAAAGATTTGGTTAATAAACTGTTTAAAAGTTAATTTTAGTATAACTTGAATATTGTTTAATAATTGATTCTGAAAAGTAAGTTTAACTGTTTAAGCTCACTTGCAAAGAAATCTCAACATACTAAACTCTGAAATTCTAATATAGAAAAGTTTGTAGTAAACCAATTCTAAACATTTTCACTGATAAAGAGCCTGTGACCAGACTCTGAACACTTAGTATTTGGTGTTCAAGCTTGTGGTCATTAGAAGCATATTTTCTTGATTTTAATAAAATTGTCTTACATTAGAAAAAATATCGTAATTATGAAAAATAATACATCACATTTCAGTATTTCTGATAGGTTTTAAATATATTATTTCATTTTGGTGGCTGTAAGATTTGTAAACAGAACATGAACAACTTAGGTTTTGTTTATATACATTAAGATGTCCTAAATGCATTTTTTGATTAACACTAATATTACATATTTTATTACATAGAGCAGGTGCAGGTTTAGAGCTCTTATATTGTAACTATAACCTTGGAAACATTACTTCTGGTTGTTGTTTGATTTTACAAATTGAAACCTGTGTTCTTGATGTTGTGGACTTTCTTGGCTTATATATCACACAGGTTTCATGAATGCTTCTCTTTGTGACGTACTGTTAAGTTATCCTAGTTGGAAACACACTTCATGTAAGTTAGGCTGGAATAATATTAACATATAGTTGAACTAATATTCAATAAATATTTATATTTCAGAAGCGAGCTAAAACTTTCCTTGCCACCAAAGAGGTGACCACAGCTATCACCAAGCTGTCAAAAGTAATGGTAAAACAAGAAGTCCATGAAGATACAGAGAAAGACATCAATTCAGAATTGATGCTTGATGCACATAGCCCTGGGTTAACATCCTACCAGAACAGTATGGAGCAGTCTGTACATAGCACTAAACAAGGTAAGGAAGTCTACAATACTAATGATAGCAAAAAACTGTCCAGTGTCGGTATTCTAAAGTTTTAGGGGCTATAACCACAGACTGCCCAATAACTTGGTATATTCTAACATTAAATCTTGCAAACAAGTAGAATCCCAAACTTAGACCAGTCTTAAACATAAGAAATATAATGAAAGAATGTATTGTTTTAGATTTTCTATGGTGGCAAAGTATTACTGTTTCTTTCTCCCAAACTAATAATGTTTGTGGTTAATATGGAACAACTGAAACATGTAAAGCCTATTAAGCTTCGCTGTCATATTAATCAAATATAAAGAAGGATCCACGTTGTTCAGGTGAAGAGAAAATTTCAGCTAGATTTATTTTTCTAAACATACGAAATCAGTATTAAAAAATATAAACATGAAACTTATGAATATTCCATAAGAAATATATTTAAAAATCTTTCTACCTTGCTTTCATCTCTGAAAGTTGATCAATGAGTTCATTAAAATTTAACTGACGAGCAAAAGCTTGTTCAATTGATAGAAGTGCCAGTGTACTCGTTTGCTGCATGCCATAGATTGCTAAGCCTTATCAAATTTTGCACATGGAGGATATGAAATTAAATAATTTTTTTTAGGTTTTATATGTACATTTGAAATAACCAAAAAAATCATATAACTATATTGATACCATAGAATTCCACTATAATTTATCAAGCTTAGTAACTAAGTTGTATTTGGATCTAAAAAAATATGAAATTTCGAACAGACTAAAAAACTCAACTTACCATCTTAAAATCTTGGATCGAAAGAACAAGTTGACATCATAATACTTCAAAATGGTTGAGAAAACCACTAGGGGGACTTCTGAGCTTTTGATTGGTTATTCACATGTCAGAGACAGAAGTACTTGTACATAAGGGAGTGTTTCCAAAAATGAAGAGAGGTGGGTGGGTGGGGGCCACTGTGTTTGTTCAGTACATATAGTGATATCTCAGCAAACAGAAAAGATAGGAGGTTCTTATTTTATATTCTAGCTTGTAAATATTGGTAATTTGTGTTTCTAATTCGTAAGAAACTATAGACTTTGTATTTGGACATCACAAACATCTAATTTGAACCAATGCTGCATTAAATATACCACGTGACACACAAAATTCATATTTAGGATTTCTTTTTTAATATTTACTTTTAAATTAAGAAATCAACTAAATGATCATACTCATTTGAATTATAATTTAGAATTTGATACCAAACTGAATGACATACATTCTTAAAATAGTGTTTTTTTTTCTAATATTTTCTAAATTGTGAAAACTGTGAAGTAAAATGTGGGCCCCTGGGCCTGTGGTATTTTACCACTAAGGCCACCCTATTGTTATGCCACTGCCTGCACCCAAAGCTCTACTGAAAATTAACTTTGAATTCTGAAATATTTCTAATGATTCTATTACATTTAGTTCATATTTGTTATTATAATATTTAATCAATTTGACATTATTCCAATTTATATTGTGAGAAAAAACATTGTTTACCATATGATCAGCTAATGCTGATTCATTTATTTTCTATCTTTCTATATTTGATTTATGTTCATTGATGTTTCTTATGTTTTCAAGTACCTGTATTATACTTGTTTTACTGAAACTATGGTCAAAATTAAAAGATGATCAAATGTACCTCACATAAGTTTAGATTAAGTACATTTTGTTTTTTATGTTTTTAAATAGATCAGAAGGAGATGTATTAATTTTGAAAGATGTTTTATTATTTCAGAAAAAGTAAATCCTGAAACAGAGGTTGAAACTGAAGAGAACATACTGTCAATGTCACCAAACTCTGAAAATCTTGTCCTCGTGACTGAGCAAGAGGTGTGTTTGTCCAGAATGAAATAAGATTGTGTAGTATATAAATATATGTTAGTGATAAATGAACATGATTGATGTTTAGTATAACAACAGTTTTTAGTTGGTTATGTTATTGCATTTTAATTTCACATCTGATATTGGAATACCTAAGTTAGAAAAATGGTAACACTAGAAAGATGTTAATATATAAGGGGATTTATTCAACAATGTTTCAAGCCTAAGTCTTTCATCAGGTGATATTTAAACAGTCACTAACAAAAGTACATTAGAATGACATTTAAACAATAATGATGTAGATGTGTACATAATGTATGCTGCGATAGCCTAAAGTACTATTGTAGACAAAGAAATAAAGAATACATTATAACTACAAATATAAAGTCTAATTTAGAAATAAATAAAAATAGTGAAAAAGACTCAAATATTAATAAATACAAACTAAACTCAATTAAAAATTAAAAAACTAGGTTAGACTATAGATAGAAAATGCACGAGAATAAAGAATTATTACAAAAATGAAAATATCTAATTTAATTCAGATAGAGAAAAGATCCCTAAATTATAAATTAGGTGCTATTCTTTGTGTTCCTATAAAGAGTTATCAGTTGGTGCTGATCCAAGAATGACTGTTTTAAGATGTGACAAATCATATTTGTCATTGCAAAAGTGTTTTGAGATAGATATCTATTGATTATATTTTTGATTGTCCATGTATTGGCATAGTCTGTTACAGGGGGAGAGTATAAGGGTAAAAATGGTTGCTGATGTTGGCTCTTCCCTTGTATCAGATCATATAAACTTTGCAAGAGAGTTGATGAAATATCAGAAGTGGAATACAAACATGTTTATGGTTGACTTGGAAATTTGTTGTTAAAAAGTTTTGGATAAGCAAGTTAGTAAATCATTCCAACCACAGCTGATATAAAGTTGTGGTGAAATGGCATGTATCAAACAACATTTTGACACTTAGTAGATAGTGGGATGCTGTTGAAACTGATCGCTTTTAAAAGGGGTATGTAACAACCCTAATCAACACACAGTATTCATACACTCATATCATAACGATGTATTTACATTGGAGATTTAGAATTTCCAAGACAGGTGTATCCATTGCACTTAATGGCATTGGAAAACAAAATAATATAAATCAACAGCAGAGCCATCCTGCAACAAGTCATACCCCAGCTATGATAAGTAAAGGGCAACATCTTGTGACAGGTGAGTTGTCCATGTGTCTAGATAATGTTACACAACATAATCAAGAAGGAAATGTGACACATATCACTTCAACTGTGGTATACCTCAGGCAGCTGGAGAATGAAACTGATATTCATGTATTTCCATACAGAAACATGTTAGTCAAGTTGTAGATGCAGGGTTTCTGTGCAATCAAACTGTTGGAATGGGTCCTGGGAGACTGTCATCTTTGTACTCTAGATAGATTATGGATCAGGGAGGAATGTGTATGTTTGGAACATAACAGTCTTAGGACAGAGATTTTTGCAATTGGAAACTAAGCTGCAGGGCTATTGTGCAGATGCACAATCATCAGATAAAGCATGACTGGACTGTAATGAAATGGTGAGGCCTCAAAATCGTTTTAATGTAATGTAATGTGTATCTTAGGATTGTCTGAAAAATTCTAAAAAAAAGCAAGGAGTGTATTGTTGACTTGCAAAAGTCCTTGGAGCAGTGCAGAAATAAAAGCTTGAACATTTATGTTTATGAAATGCACTAAATGATTGTTATGTATTGATAAAATATCAATTATAAAAAGAATTATGTTCTCTACTTAGATTTTAAGTGAAAATGATTCTTCTCTCTTTACACCCAAAATATCCAGTTTTTACTGGTTTCCACATTACAGAATTATTGTAATGTTTGGAGAAATTTTGATCATTCAGTTGTGACACACACACACACTCTGATGTTTCTTACAATTAATAAGCCTGTCCAATCTCCCATATACACACACACAGAATCAGTCAACAGTAGCCAGTTGCCACAGTTTTTCTTAGTTATAACTATATACTACCTTTCAATTAACATTATTGATAAAACCTTATGACAAATGCCACTGAACTTTTGATTCAAAGAAAGTTTCATTAATGACATTTTCATGCACTTTTAACTAAACATGATACATCTTTACATTCATATATATAGTCATGCAATGCATGTAAAAAAATGTCCATCAAATATGTGTGTGTTCCTTACACAGTGGCAATAAGATTTGTGTTAAGTAAAGTTTTCTGTCAATGGGATTTAATTAGCATAGAGTCTTGTTAATTTAAGTGTGTTCTGTGGAAAGGTTTGATATTTTGTTGACCTTTCTTATGCATATTTCTGTTTCAAAGCCTGAGATTAGTCTTTAAAAACAATTAATTATGTACTTACTTATATTTCAATATAACAAAAAATTCAACATAAGTAAAAGTATTACATATATTGAAATGTAAAGTCATTCTTAGATGGCTACATAAAACAGCACAGATTTTTTTGTGTGAACATAACTGTAGTGAACCTGTGTCCAAATCTACATGAATAAACATTTTAATGTTATTCCTTTTGAGAAAAAAAAAAGAGCAATGTGTAGCTCTGACAGTATTATATCCAGCAGATTTAATAATAATTGATATCATTACCTATTGTTTTGGTATTTCAAATTACCTTTCTTAATATGTGTGTGTGTGTGTTTTCTTATAGCCACATCGGGCTATCTGCTGTGTCCACCAAGGGAAATTGATCCCTAATTTTAATGTTGTAAATCTGTAGACTTACCGCTGTTTCAGCAGAGGACTTCTTAATATGACTTGAACCTTTCAATGGTTATTAAGTTGATAAAAAAAAATGTAATAATATTAAAAGGTACAACTAAGACTTGTTTGACAGGAAGTTTATTTTTTCAACTTATAAAGAGAATTATTGGTACGAGTTTCATGGAATACACCTATCTTACTTCCTCAATTACTGTACTTTCTACTTCTGAATGAAATATGAAATGCTTGGTGTAATTTTCTGTGAGATCTGTTTGGAAGTATGATGTATACATTTTCCTAGAAATTTAATTGAAAAACTCTAAATGCTGGGGTCAAAATTTCATTTAATCTCTCATAAAGTCATTCTTACAGTTTTAATACCTGGTCTGGATACCTTTTTCATAGTTCAGTTTGATTTGTAGTACAAGGTGAATAACAGTATTTCATCCTTACAGAGTAAAGGTATTGATGCTGAAGAAGCCAACACAACAGGAAGTGACCAGCTGGGTAAAACAGCACAAGAGAAGGCTGCTTTATTAAACAGTAAGTTAGAACTTACTTGTTCTCATGCTGATAAAGAAACTTGTACAACAGGAAGTGACCAGCTGGGTAAAACAGCACAACAGAAAGCTGCTTTATTAAACAGTAAGTTAGAACTTACTTGTTCTCATGCTGATAAAGAAACCCATACAACAGAAAGTGACCAACTGGGTAAAACAGCACAACAGAAGGCTGCTTTATTAAACAGTAACCTAGAACCTGCTTGTTCTCATGCTGATAAAAAAACCCATACAACAGGAAGTGACCAACTGGGTAAAACAGAACAACAGAAGGCTGCTTTATTAAACAGTAAGTTAGAACTTACTTGTTCTCATGCTGATAAAGAAACTCATACAACAGGAAGTGACCAACTGGGTAAAACAGCACAACAGAAGGCTGCTTTATTAAACAGTAAGTTAGAACTTACTTGTTCTCATGCTGATAAAGAAACTCATACAACAGGAAGTGACCAGCTGGGTAAAACAGCACAAGAGAAGGCTGCTTTATTAAACAGTAAGTTAGAACTTACTTGTTCTCATGCTGTTAAAGAATTCTCAGGTGAATCAAGTTTTTTTAGCTGAAGAATATTTATTTTAGACGATTAAAATGGATTACAGAAAGTTTTTTGTTAGAAAAAACTATTACCTTACAGTTTCTAGTCTGAAAAGCTCATTTTATGTTTGTACCTTATTATATGAATACAACTTATGTATATTTTAATTTTGCTGATATTGAATGGATATATTATTAGCATTAGAGCTGTTATTTAATATATGTTTTAATAGTGTTGTTATTTAATGTACATGTTAATAGTGCTGCTATTGAATGTACTTGTTAATAGTGCTGCTATTGAATCTACGTGTTAATAGTGCTGCTATTGAATGTATGTGTTAATAGTGCTGTTATTGAATCTACGTGTTAATAGTGCTGCTATTGAATGTACGTGTTAATAGTGCTGCTATTGAATGTACGTGTTAATAGTGCTGTTATTGAATCTACATGTTAATAGTGCTGCTATTGAATGTACGTGTTAATAGTGCTGCTATTGAATGTACGTGTTAATAGTGCTGTTATTGAATCTACATGTTAATA